ACCATTTTAAGATCTACTAAGTTAGAGCAGCAGGAACAACAGCTACTCTACCATACTTAACTTGAGGGTGAGAAGACAAACAAAGTACCAGTTTATAGTTTGTGAAAATAAATTTAACATAAATAGTAATGATTTCAGTCTTTAGCTAAATTAAACACAAAAGTTTTATGCACAAACAATATCTGAAGTTTTCCTATCCCAAACACTATTCTCCTTGGAAAAAAATAAAGTATAATAAATAAGTCAAGCTGATTGACTGTCTTACTATATGCACTAAGTAGAAAGAAATACAAATGTTAATTTTCAAAGTTTAAAGGCTTTCTGAATGTGGTAATCTAAATATTGATGCATTCCCAAATCAGCTTTTCTGGGTGCTTGGTCAGTAATCCTTTATATCCATATATCCATACATAATTGTCTATCATTAATTTCCGACATTAGAGACTTTAGCAATACGACTCAGTAACTAGTAATTACCACTTTTTGCCTAAATATATTTGGTATGCTTATATGCTTTATGTGAAAAATACTATGAGAAAAATTGTATTTAGTTTCAGATGATCTCTTCAAAAGCAAGGGAGATCAAAATTAGAAGTACTAACTGAACATCCTTTGCTGAGATTCAGTTCCCATTCTCCACCAGAAAGGAGTAATGATACTATTATGCATTACGGACCAGCTCACCCCTAAACCTCAAATCTGCAAAGAATGAAAATATAAGAGTCAGAATCCAGATGTCAGAATCCAGATTTTTTTAAAGTCTTACTACACAGTGATCATGGTGATTCAGCCAGCTAAGTATAACTCTTAGAAGTGACTTTTTAGATTCAGGTGCTTTAAGTATGAAAGTATATCATCTCCATTGATCTCATTTAAATGCATTTTAGGATTTTACCAATAGTTTGGCATAGGTATATAAAAACACCTATTTAACTTCAGTGGGAACATGCTGCATATATACTGAGACATCATTCCAGCTTTAGTGACATGGAGAAGCCCAGACAGTACTGATGTAGTTATATGCAACTGTTGTGCTTAAATCCAGAATATTACAACTTAAGTTTAAGTAATCCTATCTGTGGCAGTATTTCCAATGATGATTTAAGATTGCATGCACAGATAGTCTCATGTACTCTCCTCCCCACCCCCGCACAACATGGAGTCCAAATTACTTTTTCTATAATAGCTGAAAATTAGAAATAAATATCCATTAATGTGACATATATTAAACGCTTGACAAGCTGGCAGAAACCTCAATGACATTTCAGCAAGCAGATCTAAGACAGTATACACTATTCCAGACAAAACTCACATTGCAATACGAAGTTTACTTTGCTGAACATGTCACTCTTTTAATACTTATTTTTACATTTGCCGTAAGACTGAAGAAGTATAATACAGAGTACATTAAAGCAAACATTCCAAAAAAAATGTATAAGCATGTGTGTGGCCGATATGGTCGATACGCATATGCAAATGCTAGTTACATGAAAACTGACAAAACTGAGCATAAATGACAGCTCTGAGCTTGTATCCACAAATAACTTCACTCATACGAGCCATTCCATTTTATTTCTTCCAGACATAATGATTTGTAACTGGTACTCTAGATGGGCAACAGCTGATATGTTTCTGTCAACATTTGGACCTTTTTTGATTCAGATAAATCAACATTCCAGAAATTCATAAGGAAACTCTCCATTCCTCATCTGTCTTTTCCAGCCTGCTTCAAAAACACCAAATTACTCATATATACCAAAGGAAGACTCATTAAACCAAAGTAAAGATTTGACTATAAAAACAGATTTTGGTATGTGCTTCAGTGCAAAAAATCCCTGTACATTTATTTAACATTTGTGTAAATCAAAAACAGTAAACTGTTTGTTTAAAGTGCGCTACAGCTAAGACTTTACAGACCAAGTTTATCCCTAAATGAATACCAAAAACCCCAAAAGCTTACAATGCAAACACTAGCAACCTTATGGAGCAAGGTGCTAGCAGGCACTGTTATACTATATTATTCATCAATTATTTAGAGAGGCGGAATCTGATCTCACCTACAGTTAATGCAAGTTTATACTGACGTAACTGAGATGAGAACCCATCTCCTGGTATATACCATCCTGAAGTGATACAAAGAAGTCGCAAAAACAGAAGCCCCTTTTTTGTATAAATATGTCATAAATAAAGTATGTATAGATACAAATATTCATTACAACAGCAGCTTAATGGTCTAATATTTCAGCTCTTGCTTCTATAATACTTTGTTAAAAAGATATCTTAATCAGCAGAATAAATCTTAGCAGTGCTGCATTAGCTATTTGTGATGCTACACACCTCAGAAACAATTCATGCACATTTTGAAGCCTTTCCTAGATCTTTAGATCTTTAGTAGTGAAAGTAGGTAGAAATTTTTGATGCAAAAAACAATAAATAAATAAAAATTGTTAAATATCCAATGTTTGGTACAAATGCTTCATATTAAGTTATTTTTATACATTTGTTTAGAAAAATACACTAAATATTTCTACTTTCATTGGCTAAAAATAAGGACCAGATTATGTATCTCCTTGTGTTTTTAAAGAAGGTAATGTTAATTACCATCAAGCTGCTAGAGTAAACCCATTAATACCTAATCCCACAGCCCTTACACAGTCAAGAAAGCCAGTGCAGGGTATCACAGCTCCAGGAGGACTGCATGACCACCCTCTAGAGTTTATACAAATGACCAACAGGCCCATGGCACAAGTTACATTTTCTCCAAAAATGTGAAAACTTTTTGCTGAAGTTTATAATTTGCAGGTTTACTAATGTATCAGTCAGACCCTCACACTTTTTAAAAAGAGCTACATTTACAAATGTAGATGCTTATCTGTTAAATCATTATTTGTTCCAAAAAATGCACATTCAAACTGTGAAATATTAGGAAAATACTTTTGCAAATAAACTATATAAAGATAAAATACACTTCCAAGATAGTTTTTATGTTATTCTATAAAGTGCAGAGAAGTCCTTCTAAAAAGGGAAATGACTACTTCCTATAACAACAGTATAATTACAGCAGCCTTTGCATAGCATTATTTATAGAAAATTGAACACTTTCAGTTTCTTCAGGAAGAAAAGGATGGAAGAGTCTCTTCCAGTTCAGATCTGTCCTTTGACACTGATCTATTTTCTTCAGGAATGGCTGATGATACCAAATCTCCATTGACAGCACTTCTAGAACAGTGAGCAGATCCTATGAAGATATCAATAAGTATTTCAATTTCACCTCAACCAACACATCCAATCTGTCAGTTATTCTATTTGCTAAGTATTTCCTACACATAAGGAATCAGAAGGTGTAACTACTCTAGACTTTTCTTGAAATAGTCTAACCAATTTCATGCCAGATGAAGAATGTTCAGCTAGTATAAGTCAGATAACTTTCTCTTACAATGATTTTTATATTACGAAGGACAGTAATCTGTGGGGTGCAGACAAGCTACAACGTTTTCTACGATCAAAATGAAATGGATGACTTACTGCAAGTTGGGTATTGCTACACTATTTGGTAGGGAAGAGAAAGAATGAAGAGAACTGGAAGGTACCACGAGGAGCTTTATCACAGAAAAAGAAAACAGCGAACAGAGAAACTGAGCTACAGACTAGCGCTACGCAGTAAGGAACCAAAACAACAACAGCAGCAAAACCTAGGCTAGTACTAGCAAAAACACACAAGAGAGACTCTTCTTAGCAGACCTGAAACAAGTCAGTCTGGGTATCTGACAGCAGAAGAAAGTCCAGACCATAGCAGCCTAAGCCTTGCGTTACTATGAAGCTAGACTGATGTGCACTTACATTAGCTATGAGACACAGAACAGGATCTAAACTATGTTTATTAGCTTGGGGTGCATGCTGGCAGACCATAAGTTGGTGGGGGAGGTTAGAGCAGTGGTTGTCTTGCAAGAGGTGAGGATCAAAAAAATCAAGTAAATGGTGTGCAGGTGGGAATACTTGCTTCATGATACAGACTGTAAAGCAGTAGTACCTCTTGGGGCTCATGTGGGCTGTCAGCAACGCACAGGCCTCAGGCTTTTTCAGCTCAAGGGAGGCACCAGGCACTCCAGAAGGAAGCAAGACTAAACCAGAACTAGTCAAGAAGAACTAGTCAAGTTAAAGTCTCTCTGAGAGGACTGAGGATGGAGTCAAATGACAATAAGATTCAAGAGTAAAAAACACAGAAAAACTGATTACTAACTCAGCAGGCCCATCTAATCAGGAGGGACTAATGTTCTGATTATGACATCACTTCTTAATTTCCTTGGCTTTGATTTATTCTTAGCAAGACTGTGCTATTTCAGAACAGTTCTCTACAGTTGTTTTGATTTCAGTTGTTCTCTACAAAAGGCAAGCAGCCACTAAAATAAACTTTCTGCAATACACTAGGTGGAAATTAACACACACACCGCTCTCCTCCAAAGTCACAGAAGGGATCACAGAAAGGAGAATTTCTTTTGTGATAACAAACAGATGGCAAATAATAGTATTCCACACCACTTAGCAGAATATCAGCTCATGTAAGATTATATTAGTACAAACGTCCCTGTTTTGGTTATGTTTTATCTGAAATGGAATTTTCCATTTTTACAAGTAGTCCCACTGCTTTCAGTGCAGCTACTCCCGGTGTAAGATCCTTGTCAATATAACTGCAAGCCAGCAAAAGTCAGCCGCATAATGAACCACACAACTGCTCTGATTTGTAATACAGTAAACCTACAACAAATCTTTGTGTAACCAGAGCTAACAAAATTTGCAGTAAATACTTTCTTCATACTGATATCAATATTAAATCGCCCACAGTAAAAAAAAACATCCCTCTTCCAAACCTACTCTGAGAATCTTCAAGGGGAGTATCACTGTAAGATTCCGTGTCTGAGTACGTTCTTCTGCGTCGCTGTGATAATTGGTGAAGAGATGAAATTGGTTCTTTTACAGAGTAACTATTCCTGCAAAAAAAATGAAATGTATTATTAAGAAAAATCTATAACACCCCATACCCCAACTTAATATACTTAACAATATAATAGAAACACCAAAATTATTTTAATATAAATTATATTTTTCACTATGCTAAGATTAAAATGGCATGGTCAACACAACAGTATCAATTTTCACAATTTTAAAGCCTGAAAATTGAAGTATGAATGTAATCTTTGCATGCAAAAGAAAATCATTCAAGAATCTAAAAGACAAAATTAAATAGAACCTTAATGTTTTGGCTCTACGTATAACTTTATGAACTCAGCAGAATGCGTCATTTCCAGAAAGTTTCTAACATGAAGAAATATTTACAGAGCAAGTATTAGAGACAGCACTTGCCACTGCAATCAATAATCTTCACCTTAGTTTCCAAACCTCCAAGCAATCAAAATTAGATCAGTTTGTTTATTTATTTAAGATTTTTTTCCCTAGGGAATAATTTCTCTCACATTTTGATTTTAATGCTGGTAGGCTCAGGGAGGTGTTTGGAGAAATCTGAAAAGAAACTTAATAAAATAGAAAATTACCTCTCTAAATAGCAAGTGCCAGGGTGGCTAATGGAACGCTTCATCTAGGAAAAAAAAAGAAAAAGAAAATAGTCATAAGCAACTTATAGAAATAACAAGCATATGAACTTTTACAAAGAAGGAGGATGATTTCTTTAATTAAAAACAACACTTCTTGGCTAAATATCTTATGTAGCTATATGAAAATGAATGGGTTGCCATCAATATTAAAAGTTTTAAAGCACTAACACAAGAAATACAGTTTACTTCCTAAAATATTATCTGATTTCTATAGAATTCATTCTCTCTTGCTCCAAAATTATTCATATATCCATTTTAATTGCGGTGATCTGCAGAAACACGAAGAGATTTTTTCCTCAGCAAATGACAGCTTCAATTCCCCGTTACACAAAAAAGCTAAAATTCTGCCTCTTGATTCTTTGTGGTTCTGATACCACTGACAAATCTCTTTGCATATCAAAGAGAACTTACTGAAGGTTGAAATTATTAATGACCAGCTTTAAAAGTCAATTGATTGGATGGAAGACAAAGAGAGAAGAGATCCAAGTACAAAGAAATGGAATCCCACAAAATCCTAAAATACCGCTCATCTAGGAATCTTTATATGTACGATCAAGAGAACATTTAAGATGATTCCACATACAATTAAGATAATTGCCTGTCCTCCTAAGGAAAATAATTAGTAGTGGAGAGTTATGAAAGTAGTATCTTTACCATGATTTGCCTTTTTGTTAAATAAGGGCATGTTAGATTAATACAAACATTTCCGAATGATATACTTTGAAAGATGTGCTATCTTGCCAAAGAGCTCTAATGCGCAAGGCAGTTGTCTGCTTAAGTAAGAGTCAAGGTCAACATACAGTTAGCACTATAAAAAACAGTTGAACTGAGGAAAGGTTAGGTCCCCTTCATTTATGATACCTGAATACAATCAGAAATGTCTTCATATGTATGACAAATTAGTCTGATTATGTGGTGGCTGGTAAACAAAGACTGAGAACAGGGTAGTATTGATTTATATTTAGTATACTAAATAGTATACTAAATACTATACTACCGATCTTGATAGAGTGAAGGTTTCACCTGTTGACACCAAAGAATATAGCAATAGCATAGTCTTCTACCATTCTTCCCACCCCCCCGCCGTAACCAACAACATGACACTTAAAAAAAAATAATATTTTAAAATATCTAAACCATTTGGACAGGTGATGGTGACACAGGAGAAACTAAGGGATCAGGGTGAGGCAGCTGAAACATTTCTGGCTTAAACTTGGCATTAGCAATCTTCACACATTCTTCAAGTGTTGTGATAAACGTATTACACGTGGCACTAAGCAAGGAAGAGGCTTCATTCATGTTCTGAAAACAAATGAAAGTACAATCATCAGCAAGAAAAAATGAAAAGATGCAAATACAAGAAAACAAAACAAAACACTAATTTCCCTCCTTACTAGAGAGGCCTAGTGATAACTTCCATTTCCCATTTTATTCAATCAAAATGAACACTTTTCAATGAGGTCAGTTTTAGTAAACAGATGTAACAACACTCTTAATGTCCTTTTGGCATCTGAATTTCTTTAAGGTATCAGCAAACAAAGCTTTAATGCTATAATGGTTTTATTGCAAATATAAGAAGCTTTTCTCTCAGAACGACTAAAATCCCACAGGTATCAGAAGATCATTCTATGAAACAAATGAACTGCAGCAGAACACACACGCAGCTTCATTAGCTTCAGTGCAAGCAATCTATGGGTCAATTGCAACTTTGCTGTAAGCTGACAACATTTTGCTGTGCTGTGACTACAAAGTGGCAACACTTTGCTTTACTTTGCTTGTCCACATACTGCTCAAAGGTGTGTAGGAGGAGGCCACTTCTGAATTTACAGCACTAAATTCCATTCAAAAGCAGAAATACTAGAATAATTTTATTTGTTGTGTGTATTCAGAGGGACGTATTTACATTGCAAGTCTCCAATACCTGTAACGGTAGCTTTTATCAGCAACAAAATGAAAACCCTCCTACACAAAGAAGTAAAGAGTGAATAAACAATAGGTTTCAACTACTCATTGAACTAGATTGTTTCAACTACTCTGCCTGTAAGAAAGATCTCAGACAGGACAAATTATTGCATAACTAATATGGCAGCTCTTCTGGTCTTTTAAGCAAATGCCTCAAAACACAATTGCTCCCCAATACACATTACAATTACAGTTAAATCAATCGAGCATTTTGTGCACATATAATCTTTTACAGTACACACGAGTCAATGGTAAAGCATTCAAAAATTCACCTTAGGTTAAATCTACCAACATCAGGGAGAAGAAAAGAAGCATAAGATGTCAATAGAAACTTAGGATGAAATAAGGTGCCCATGAGCACAAAAAGGTCAACAGTATCATGGGCTGCATGAGGCAGAGTGTTGGCAGCAGGTCAAGGGAGGTGATCCTTCCCCCCTCTACTCAGCACTGGTGAGGCCACATCTGGAGTGCTGGGTCCAGTGCAGGGCTCTGCAGTACAAGAGAGATGGAGCTACCGGAGTGAGTCCAGCAAAGAGCTACTAAGATGATTAAGGGACTGGAGCATCTCTCACACGAGAGGAGGCTGAGAGAGCTGCTGCTCTTCAGTCTGAAACAGAAAAGGCTCAGAGGGGATCTTATCAATGTTTATAAATATCTGACAGGAGGCTGTAAAGACTGTGGAGCCAGACCATTCTCAGTGGTGAACCCAGTGACAGGACAAGAGGGCAACGGGCACAAAGTGAACACAAGAAATTCTGTGTGAAGAGAGGAAACTACTCGTTCATTTTGACAGTGGAATTTTAAACATTGGAATGGGTTGCCCATCGAGGTTATGGAGCCTCCATGCTTGGAGATATTCAAAACCCAACAGGACTTGGCCCCAGGCAACCTGCTTTAGGTGACCCTGCTTGAGCAGGGGTTGGACCACTTGATCTCTAGAGCTCCCTCCCAATCTCAACTATTCTGTGATTCTGTTCTCCAGTGCCATTCTAGAAATTCAATACCTCAATGCTGGGAGGAGATCGAGTCTCATCACGGTGAACAAATTCTTGTATTGTATGAACTTGCTGCATTAAAAGATCACAGTAGAGACGAAGTTCGGACATTTTGGTTTTAAGAGATTCATTGGTCTCACTTATTTCTATAAAAATAAAAGAAACACCAATTATGGCATACAATTTACATGCAGATTTTCAAATATGCTTATTTAGATTTTTGATTTAAAAATTCATTTAAACTTTCAGTTAATGTGAGGAAAAGTGGATTCTGCAATGAGTTAAGAACTTTACTTGAAGTAGACAGCAGTTTGTACTTAATGATAACTGATGGTACTTTAATGACCATCAAGAAGGAGGCATAAACTGAAAAATATAAAGTTAAATTTTTTCTTAGGTGCACTGTAATGTAGAAAAATTTTAATGGATGAAATTTCCCACCCCAACAGATTGGCTAGAAATGGTTACATCAAGTCATCCAAGAAAAAATTAAGGAGAAAAACAACAGTAAAAGAGCAGAAACTCAATGGCTTCGTAACAGCTACAAACAATAGGGTTGTTCCTGTAACAACCCTAACTTGATGAAGTTTCAACTTTTTCAAGTAGAAGAGCTCAGGACCTAGAAAGATCAGATTATATCCACCTTTAAGAGTGAAAGGTGTGTACGTAGGGTTACAGACCTCAGGGTATACAGGACAGATCACTCTCTTTACATCCTTTTTCTTATATTCCCTCTTAAGACTTTGCTCTTGCCTTTCATAAGAGACTTTTAGTTTGATCGAGTAAGGCAGCTCTTAAGCTCACATGTAGTCTTCCCTGCCTCCTTTCAATGGAGGTGATTTCACTCAGGCAGATGTTCTGGGGTAGTTTTTTGTCTCCAATAAAAGGAAACTTGTACAATGCCCAGATATTGAAATGTTGGATACCTTAACATCAGACAGGACAGAGCTGAATACATTCATAATTTCAACAACAAAGTATGTCATTGATTTTACATACAACTGATTCTTCAGTGCCTTGTACAGAATAAATATCTAGAACATCACTGCAAGACTGGCTGTAAAAAGGTATTAGGCATATAACTAGGAAACTTGCAGCCTTGCAAAAACAGCCCAGGAAGCTAGCCACTCAAACCCCATAGACGTCAGTTTAAACTCCTTATCCATCTGATTGTTAGACTCAATCAGAATTGGGTGTTTGTGGAAGCAGGAAAGAGAGTCTGAACTGATACCAACTGATACCACTTTCTTTGAAATCAACAGAACTCTATTAATCCATAGCATTTGTGGATCTGGTGCTTCATATGGTCACAGCAACGTCCCTAGGATACTACACAGATAATAGCAGGTGCAAGACAAATTTGAATGCAGCACAGAAATATTTTATTTAAAGACAATAATACTGAATTTATATCACAAGATCAGGACTTTGTCATTATTCAAAAAAAAACATTTGAAGAAGTGGTTAGATTGTGCATGCTTTAGATGGTATACGTACCTTTTTCTTTTTTTGTTCTGGTATCTGCCAAACAGGCTTTCGCACTCCCCAGGGCTACCAGCCATCTTTGCCTTTCAGCTGCATTAACTGCTTTCATATAGAAATGCTGTTCCCCTGGGATGATTAGCTCCATTCTTGTGTTGTCTGTTGCATGAACTTAGGACAGAGGAGGGAAAACAAAAACAAAAACAATTGTGAAGAGCTGAAAAAAAACCCTCAACCCAGTAAGGATTATTTATGATATGCAGATCAAAGAACTTCAATATTTGTATTACAATCACATAGTAATATCATAAATCACAAGGTATTGCTGCCAAATAATGAAATAGTAGCTCAACTCTTCTCCCTAGCACACTGTGGAATAAACAGTCGGGAACACCAATTATCAAATAACGGACAGACTCAAGCACAGTGAGGTTCCCTTACTGCATTACCAATACACTGCATATGAACTTGTAACAGCTGTTGTATGCTAATCCTGATCTAACCATGGCAAACCAAGCTGAATGAATGTCCCTTCTTGATGAAATTTGGATTCAGGTCGCAGAGTCCTAAAATCAAGAATTAAAGTGGACTTTGTTAAAGGCCCATCATAGTCAACACTATATCTTTAACCAGAATACTCTGCCGAGTTTCATGTTATCAAACACACTTCCTCCAGACCCGCTAGCCTGGAGACTGCATCAAATCCAGACTTAATCTATTATCTTTCATATACTAAAAAAATAAGACGGCAAGGAAAAAGACGATGACAAGCAAAATGAATAACTGGAACAGCCAAAACATGGTATCTTCCACTTTTACGTCACTGGTTTAATCTAGACCAGGGAAACAGTAACCAAAAGGAGATACCACATGAAAAATATTTAGTGGCCCATGTAAAATAAGTCCCACTTTTTGATGTACAATATCTGGAAAAATGCCAAGAGTTTAAAGCAATGGAGAGTTAGGTAATAGCCTTACTATTAGCCAAGGTGGTGGATCTACAGCTTAGAAGACACTAAATGTACAGGCTAATTCAGAGTCTGACACCATCAGTTCATTTACTAACTCTAAAACATACATTACCTGCATCTATGCAGATGCTAACAGTGTCAAAGGTAAAAATGACTCAATAAAAAAAAAAAGGGGGGAAGACTGAACAGCTCTCCCTTAAAGACATCTCCCCTTGCAGATCACTGCTGCTGCTCTTCTGAAAAACTACTGTTCATGATTCAGTCTCCTACCTCTGGCCATAAGAGGGGAAAAAAGGTAGAACTAAGATAACTAGCTTAAGTAACGTCAAGTGTAAGCCCTGCGCGCGCAACTTTTTAAAAAGGTAAAGAAATATATGGTGGGCTCTAGAGCTCAGAAAAGGGCTTTAAGCATCAAAAACATTTTTCTTTGTTGCCGTATCATAATTAAGATTCATTATTATTTGTGAACTATGAAGGAAGCACACTGGACTAAAGGTATATAAAAGTACATTTAAAGCACAGACATTTAAAGCACATACAAAAACTTGTGATGCAGAAGGTATGTAAAGTGTTCTTATCTATTACCCTGACAACTAAAATCTCCTCTAGCAGAAATCTCTTTAATTCTTACCTTTAATTTCACAAACAGCCATCTTTATACTTCCTTTGCTGCCTTTGCAAACATCATCCTGTGAATCATAGTACGACAATATCCCATTGTCTAAAACAAACCATCGAGGCTGCCAGCCTAGCAAGATCAAAAACATGAAAAGGAAAGTTTAGTCTAATTGCTGCATTGCAAATCAAATTCAGCTCTTTGGCTGTTAAAACTTTTACAAAAGATGCAAACATTAAAATATGCCTGTTTCACATCAGAAGGAAAGAATCTGTGCTCTATAACCAAATTAGTATTACATGGATATTTCACTCTTACTCTTTTTGAATGCAAGAATAGCAATATTTCAGTCTTCACTATATTCCATTCTGCAAGAGAATGAAATTTTAGTTTAGCCACCAAGAAATCCTATTCTGAAGGCTGATAAATTACACACCTCTGATGAACCATTCTCATTCGAGTATATTTTTCGGGCAGATTTTATTAAGAAAGTCATAAAAATAAACACAGTCATACAAACACATGACCGATGTCAGTAACTGCTATGTTATCATCTCCTCTGCATATTGTATTTCAGTGAGAACTTCTGCATTTCATCCTTAACTAACGACACAACATTTTCTCCGAAAGCAGCCCACCTTCATTGCTCAGCAACAATTTAATTTCAGGCATTGTGCTGGTATTTTCTACTATGACTGAGCAGAGGCTTATACTAGTAAGACTCCACTAGTGAGGAAAGCGTATACCAGTTCCTGTACTTACGCTTTCACTAGCTCCGTATTGGTAAAACTTTTTAATGATCTTCAATACATCTACAGAACACAGCAGATTATGCAAATGCACAAATATCTGTGAGCATCATACCACATACAAATGCTAATCTACTTTAATCAAACAAAGAAGGTCCATGACAATAATTTACTTCCCCCCCCCCAGCTATTTTATAGGCAAACTTACCGTTTCATAAAACTCAACCCTCAGTGGAACAGATGCCCTAATTTTTAACACTACCGAACACAAATCGTTACGTCTAGTAAAACACTCTTTGTCTGGATTAACAGGTTTCTAAAAATAACATGAAACTAAAGCATTCCAGTAGAGCACAAGAACATTGGCTCTTTAGAGGCTGGGTCAGCTAGGCAATAGGAGCAGAGCTGGCTTCTACCTTACAACCTAACACCAAACTTTCTAACTTTGTGCTTGGACTATGGGTCGGAATGCCAATAGCTATGTGGCCACGAACTCACCAGTTTGGTGGTATGAGGGTATGGTCCACAGCACTTACCACAGTGCTATTCCAAAGGAACAAGCTGCAGCCACCCAGCAGCAGTGCATTAGTACATTAGAACACAGGGGGCTCAATCAGGTACCAGACTGCTGAACATCACATAAAGGCTTTATTCTACTTACGAGGATTTAGAAGTTTTAACATTAGAAGTTTTAATTCAAGAAGTGCAAGACTAGTCTCCATTATATCATGTCACAATTCCAGGATAAGGAAGTATGAACATGTTACTACTTTTTTTTATTAGCTATCATACATGTATCAGTAAACATTTCTGTCTTTCAAAATAGAGTGGGTAAGTAATAAGCAGATCCACACTCAGATATAAAAACAGAATGAAAAAACCTATGAACATTGAGGGATACCAGCTCCCATAGGAAAAGATTTCAAATTACATATACACATCACCTCTTACACTGAAAGAATATGTAAATATCTGTGAAATGACTGTACCAAATACCTTGTTCTGTAAAACACAGCTCAAAAATGCCCGAATATTTTTTGTTGCTACACTGCACTGCAAAACATTGACTCTGCGCTCCCCTTAACTTCTAAGTGCATGCAGAGCAGAGAAGTCATTGCTTTTCCAAATAGTCTTGTGCAGATAAAAAGGGACCCTGGACAGATGATTATTCCAGCCTCACATTCTGCTAGCACTGAAAAAATAGAAGCAAGGCATTAAAAGACTCCAAGTGCCTTACAGAAGTAAGCACAATAATGAAAAAAAAAATACCTCTTATATGAACTTGGGCCCTTGGAGAAAGTGTCCTATGTTTCACAAAACGTTTAACAAATTGTACTTTACAAATCTGTAGATGCACACACATTATTTGAGTGAGAAAAACAGCTGTATTTTAGGTTTGTTTTTAATGAGGAAGGAAGCTAAATAGCGTTTCTTTGCAATGCTTCATTAGCAACATTAGCAAGTTACTTCACTGCTTGGCTTCTATGGCTAATGACAACAAGCAGTATATCTTATTTTTGGCTTCAAAAACATAAAGTATAGTAACAAGGAAGTTGCTAACAACATTTAAAATTCTGACTAATATAATTAGATGATTCTGTTGAAATGTGTTTCCCTCCTATATTTAGGCAAATCTAGACAATTCCTGACATACTATATTTCTCAAATGCAACCGGAGCAGATCCTCGCAGTAGGCCTACATAGCCCAAATAAGGGTTCTGGAGACTGGTACTTTAAGGGACTACTAACTTTCAGTGGAAGTTAACTGCATGTTGATTCTAAGAGTCTATTATGCAGAGTCCTAGGAGAGTCTATTATCCAGGATTCATTGTTATTTAATACGTAAATATTTAACAGTAACTGACTTGAAATGTAAAGTCTATAGCAAATACCAACTACACCTCAAGGACTCAAACACCAACTACACCACAAGCACTCAATATCTACGACCTTTTACATTTTGCTACAGTAACTTTTTTGTCACAAAAATGGAAGTGACAAAACTATTTTGAAAAGAAACTTGTATTCATTATATATTTTATAACCATATTTTTTTTCTATTAGTATCTCCACATTTCATGTGGAGAAGTGGGAAAAATATCTTATCAAATAGCTATTTGCAGTACAATTGCTTTTTCATTAGAAGCCCTGTACGCATGGACACATATTTGCTCAGATAAATACAAGATTACGCTGTGTACACTTTGGTTCACAGCAAGCGCATGCAATAACGGAACCTAAATACGACCGTTAGTGAGCTAAGCAAGCACATAGTTTTTCTTCATTTAAATTATCCAAATTCAGGAGCTAGCTTAGAACTCTGTTCCTGGACTGGCAATCCAAGGAACACGCAAGATTGTGCACGATACAATAACTATAGCAAAACAAGCTAGTCCGAGGTTGTGCTAAAGGAAAAGACCAGGTACTATGGACAGCCTTGTGCATGGAGATCCCACTCCATGTCTTCTTCATTTGCATCACTGCAACACGGCCTGCATTTTACAAGTTCTGAGAATTGAGTTTCACACCACTCTGCATTTGAAATCTGAATTTACTGAAGCAGGACGGCACACCTGTAGAATGGCACTTGTAAAGCACAGAGGACAAATAAGATATTGACAAAGTAATCAAACAAGAGGCCTGATTAAGCATGATATATGATCCAACACTGATCTGCTCCTGAGGGGCAATCAGTCCCACTACAGTGTCAGAAAAGACATCTGTTTCACCTTGAAAGTACAATCTGTCCATTGCTATCTCCAGTGGGCTATCTCCACTATTATAGAGGATGAGGCAAACAAAACTAGAATTCTGGTAGCAAATGCAGGCATTTACTACACTTCTCTCTGCAGCACTTCTAAAAATGCATTTCCTGAATAAATCACCCAGAAGTATCACCCAGTTTCTCTATGTTTTACAGCTTAGGATACAGGGGTACAGATTAAAAGAAAAAAAATTACCATCCAAGAAGCATACTAAGAAAACTTAGACTTTTATATTTACCATTGACGATTTACAGATGCAATATTAAATGATTCCTTAAATGCAGCTGAAGATACCTTGCAAGTTTGTATGTCTCAAATAAAAGCTCTTTCCTGGGAAAAGAAAGATGGAAGGAAACATCCAATACTTAGGATGTGACACTTAAGATAGCAGTTCAGCTATCTGTTCTGCTAGGGCTCTTGACTAACCTGGCAATATCCAAGCTAGATCTTCAAAGATATTTAGCCACCTGATTCCCAGCGAGAGGATCTTTGAGCCGCATTAGTACCCACAGTGCATAGGTTGCCAACGAAGGCGCAAATTGGCTAGGCCTGCCTCAGAAGAGTGTTGTGAATATAAATACACATGTAATAGGACGTGGTGTTTTGGCGATGGCCATCGCACAGCATGCCCTGCTGTCCCAGCGTCCAAAGCTCGATCTAAACTGCAAAGAGCTGGAAGCGACCCACCAACCCCGCAGCTCAGAGGCGGACAGGGCAGGCAACATGAGCCACGAACGGGCGCACGCTCGGCCGCCACGGAAGGTTTTGCTCGAAACGCAAAGCGCAGGCAGTTTAGGAGCTACGGCATTAGAAAAGCAGCAATTCTGGGCTGTCCACGGCCAGCTGATGCCGGGAACCCCCTGCCGACC